ACGGCCCAGCCACGCCCCCAGCGTCCCCCAGGACGTCAAAATAGCGCCGGCAAACCTAGGCGAAACCCGGCGCGTTGGGGGGCTCTTGGGGGCGCCGGCGGAAGTTTCGGCAAATCGTGTCTCACCACATATGTCCTTTTTCTTGGCCCACTTAATCATTCTCCTCACAAACTTTTGCTTGGGGTGGGGTGTGACTGGGAAGATGCCCTCTTTATTTCGCCGGATTTCGCCGGATGACCCCCAAGACACCAACTTTTTTGGTTCGGTGGCGTTCTTGGGGGTGCCAATGGCTGTAGATGCTCTTAGATGCAACTTACCCTTATCCCCTCTCTTTGCCTTAAAACACTGTTTCAGATTGTTACTATGAAAAGTATTGTCATGAATATCTTGAAGTAAAAGAAATAAGTTATAATCATCACATAGTTAGCGTTATGCCATGAACTATTGGGAGTATGAACTTTTTAAGGTATATTTTCGTGATTGGCACAAAAAAAATACTAACCATTGTAGCGGAAGACCACTGCACTAGGACCATGGAGAATGAGAAAAAGGTTGAGCTCCCGATTGTGGCTTCTCATTTGCAATCTTCCATCATGCCCTCCCTTGGAAAATAAATTAGATATATGGTTACCTTATACATTGACTTAGAGCGCTACAAGGCTAAATACATTGACTCGTTTGGAATCCTGCATATATTCTCTATGTTCCGAACACACCCTTACAGGTTGAACTGTTATTGTGCTACTGCCTAGTTTCTGAATCTAGAGCACCTTCAAAAGAATATATATACCTACCAATTAAAACAACACGTAAAAATACATTTACTAACGTCCTCACTCTGTCAGACTACCCATCTTGTGTCGACAATGGGTCATTTTGAGTACATTGAGCTAATTTTTATAACTTGGGGCATTTTTTAATATGTCTTTCCTATTGAGTCGTACTGAAATTTGAAGCAGCGCATAGGATGGGATATGGAACACAGCAATGTACAGCTTATAACATGCCTCGATGCAGTCTGATCAATCAGCAATCATATAGGAGTATAAGACGGCATTAGAAGCAGAAGTGGAGCTCAATATTTGCTCTCAAGATACTAGAAAGTCGTTGAGCAAACACCCAGCAGCCTAAACGGACGCACATAAAGTTGTTCAGGAGTGGACTCTCTCATGGTAGGGTATCAGAGAGTTAAAGCCATACAGGCCATAGGTAGTTCTAGTAGTAGTCAATAGGAACAACAGGGACGGTGTCGACTTGGATGCTTGAGCTACAGAAATACGCCCGATTTGCAAATGATATGGACCCTCATCGCAAGGCCTCTCGTGCGGCGCTCTGCCATTTTGAAGAGGCAGATGTCTCCCAGCTGCAGGTTATTGTCAGAGGCGAACTTTGACCAGCCTCCGTAAATGATTTTCCTACTTCCATTGACGTGTAATGCCGTGTGCCACTCCTTGTCCTCCAGCTCAAGTATGAGAGTTTGATCTCTGCTTGGAAGAGTCGAAGCATATTCCTTGCAGAATTCCTAGTTTAAAGAGTAGAAGTGTCAATGGCAACTGAAACAATTTGACAATTTCATGTTAATGCATAATCTCTGCCGCATCCATATTTTTTGACATCTGGGGGTCACATCCATATTAGTAGTTCTGCAAAAGAGTAAGTGTTTATTAAACGCACCAGAGAAAGGGGGTGGCCACAAACACAGCTTTTGGTCATCACTGCCACATAGATAGGAAGTTCAGATCCAATTGCTTGGACTTTCTCCTGAACTTTCTTCTCCACAGGCCCAGTTAGAGTTATCCCTCTGGCTAAAATATAGGGAAGCCTGGAAGGCTCCTGAAGATTGTCATTGTTGGAGATGGGATGTTTCAGCTTGTGGGTATCAGATCCTGTAAAATAGGCCATGTCCTCATATGATGAAAACCGCATAACCACAAGTACTTGAAAATGTAATGAGGAAATGCATGCTAATTATACAGTGACCTGATTTTGTGGATGGGGATGACGCTAAAGCCATCTTCCGAGCTTTTGCATGAGAACCCGGTACCTGCTTCCGCCTCCGAGATGATCTTCCAGCATCTTCTCTCTCAGTGTGATCATCGTCAGAGCTGGTCAGATCAATAATCTCAACTGTACAAGGGCGTGCATCAGTAATCCAAACTGAACCTTCACCAGCCTTGGAGAAATTTTTTGTGTCAAAGCATGACGAGTTTTTCTCACAGCCACTTGGGTCCAGTGCGAGAACTTTGAGACGAGTTTTTCCCTTGCTATGGAAAATGAGGAGGTCATTCAACTGTATGTGATTAGCAGCTACAAAAGCATCCCAATCAGATTGGAGGACAACTTGATCCTCGCTGTGCTTGCTAGCTCGAACATTGTATATGTTACCATCAGGGGCTTCTAGTTTGATAATAGCACTACCTGCCTCCTCTTTTAAATGTCTCACAAGCCTCAATGGTATGTTCTTCAGGAACAGAACAGAAGAAAGGTTAAAAAGATGCAATGCTGAAATGGCTTATGAATTGGAGTAACTAACATAACCAAGAAATGATATGGAAAAGATACAACTTACGATAGAGCAGTCCTTCACGTTGACATTAAGTTTCTTCATGATTGCCACATACAAAGGAATCTCAGACCTTATTTTGCGGGCTATTTCTACAACTTTCTCATCTTGTGATTTGGTTAGATGGCATCCAGTTGACATGGTATAGTCAAACTCAACTTGCGTCTGAACATGTCTTGGATTAGGCGCAGCTTGTCCTGCACATCAAATTTGGTACAATTGTCACAAATATATCGCAAAAAGATTCAACGTTTAAGAAGAAAAATCATCTAAAAGTCAGTTTGTTTTTCTTTTCTTGTTTGGGACACTGTTAAGACTGCTTCTACTTCATTAGTTAAAAAACAAAAGAAAAGGAATCTAACCATTCAGCACATGATGATCACAAGGCTCACTGGGAGGAAAGATTCCAAAGATCTCTGAAGGTGATTGAAAGCAGGAAGCCATCTTCTCACAACCGTGTGAATTAAATATATGAATCTCAAAGTTGGAATTCCCATGGTAGATGAACAAGAATGTGTCATTTTCTTCTATATGGTGCGCAGTAACAAATGCATCCCAGCCAGACCGAATAACTAGCTCGCCGAATTCCCAGGTCACCACAACATCATATGCCCTGCCATTAGGAGCGCTGAGTTTAATGGTGTCAGAGATCCTACTCCTCAAATGGGTTGAAAGTTCCCGTGGTATACGCTGTTGTAGGACAAAGAAGATAATAGATTAGAGTTATAAGTTTCACAATTCAAACATTCTGGGGCATGAGTTTCAAATATTTGCAGGAAATGCACGCTCCATTTTCAGATTTCAGGACTAATCAAATGACATGGAAAATTAACAAAATTAAACTCGTAGATTTTTTTTTTATAAGAGGATGGCAGTAAATTCATAGATTTGCGACACCACATTACAGGATTAACAAGCAAATTTATGCTTACGTGACACCAGCTACCAGATTGTCATTATGCTGAAATAGGACATTCCTGGTCGTTGACCAACAATATACTAAACTGCCAATTGTCTCATTCTACGCTCACAAACATTTTTCATCCAACAGTGTTTTCTGTTGCATCTTCTTATATTCTAAACCAATTATATTATCTTGATGCCAAACTATAACCAGGAAACTAAAAGTATATCCAAGAATGTGACATTGCAAGAAGAAACTAAGCACATGCCTTTATAGTTCTTTTTGTGAGGAAGAATGTTAACTCTTTAAGTCATGGAAAGAATTGTTCAGCCAGTGCCTCTATTATCTAAAACAATATCCAAAAAAGAAGAAGTTCTTGTATAGCCACTCCCTTACTCCTTGACTTGTTAGCCAACACTAGTGTTCTTATCTATAATCGCCTCTATTTTACCTTGAAAGATATTTGAACAACCTCTCATGGACCATAGATATTCAGAGCCCCAAAACCCTTAAAAAAGGTTCATGTACACCCATACCCTTACTCCTTAACTAGTTTGCCAACACCGGTGTTCTCATCTATAATCTCCTTCATTTTTCCTATAATCTCATAAAGCCACTGATATGTAGAGCCAACCCCCACCAAAACCCTCAATATAACATAACCGAGCAAGGAAAAGAGAGGGGAGGATGCAGATCTAGAAGCAACAGTGGTTGAAATGAATTTGCAAAAGAATTTAACAGAAAGAGTCCGGAAAGGCAAACTGACGATGCTGTTCTTGAAATCACCCTTGGCTACAGCAGAAAATTGCTTCTTCTCGTCACCCATGTGATCCCAGTAGTAATGATCCCTCCAGAAAGCACAGTTCTCACAATCCTCGTTCATCTCGCAGTACCCTGATCGATGATGCACAAAGGGAACTGCTCAGAGATGAAATCACCACTCCAGCGCTAACAGATGAAAAAAAGGAGAGCCGTATCAAGATTCAAGAACGAGGTGAGAACAACATTTCTTTTTCCCTGGTCCTCTGTTGCGTCGCCTCTCACAGGTCGAATCCTTGCTAGAGAGTGGAGGGGAGCGGAGCCTATGCTGAATGGTATGTGTAGAGAGTGGGGGGAGCGGAGCCTATGCTGTACCCAAATATTCGTTCACCATTTTGGCACTAGCCCATCCCATTGCCCATGGGTGAGGTCAGGGTCGGTCTCTGTTTACTGTGTCTGTGTGTGAGCTCTTGGGTAAAGTCGCTGGAGGCATTAAACCCCTAGGCCAAAAGAAGAAAGCATGGTACCTCTAGGCAAGTGAAGAGGACACAGCAGTAAAAAAAGCTACAGCCAACAGAAGAAAGCACAATAGCTCTAGGCAAGTGAAGAGGACACAGCAGTAAAAAAACACTCTAGCGAACAGGAAAAAGCAGAGTACCACTCTGTAGCCATCAGCTGCTGCTGGAAATTAAACGAAATTCAATATTTTGCCCTAATCAATGGAATTTGGCAGCTCTCCTATCAACATTAAAAAAAAGGAAATTCAATAGTTCGGGCAGTTATGCACCAACTGACCAAGATTTTGTCAGAAACCAGTATTGATGATTTTGATATCAAATGGTTATCCATTTAGGGTGACAATAAAACTATAAACTACAAATGCTTTGCTTATCAAGGTAATATGTCGACTGGCAAATTTTATTCATCAAAAGTAGCTTCTCAAGCTAAAGAAGGAAGAAATTCAAGGAGGTGAGAACAACATTACCTTGGCCCTTCTTTTTTCCCTGGTTTTTCTGCTGCGTCGCCTCTCACAAATGATATGTGTGGACAGTGAAGGGGAGGAGAGCCTTTACTGTACCCAAAGATTCTTTCACCATTTTGGCAAAAGCACATGGGTGAGGTCAGCGTCTCTGTTCTGTGCATATGCGTGTGTGTGAGCTCTTGGGTGATGTTGCTTTGAACTCCCAGGAAGAAACAGCCATAGTACCTCTAGGCAAGTGAAAAATGGACACAGTAGTAAAAAGGGCTACCCACCACGGTAGGTGAAAACATCATCAGTTCGGACTCAAACTCGTTCAGGACACTGTTGTGTACATTTGTTACTGGAGATACTGCTTGTTAGTGTAAATCAACAAAGAACTAGTTTCAGTCTTCCTGCTTTTTTGCTTTTTTCATAATTCATATTCCAGCAGATGTGACATGTGAGATTTCCAACACATTGGAGAGTTGGAGTCCTGGGAAAAGCTACATTTTCTTTACAGTTCCTTTCACACCTATTCCTGGGGTCAGCCAAATGTTGTATGTACAAGGCAGACAGTTTTACACACAAGATCCCTTTGGGATGCACTACTGCGTAGGAAAACTTTTTCTTTACGAGTAGGAAAACTCAAGGCACATTACACTGAATGGCAGTTATCTAAGCCAAACAAGCTCACAGCACTCAGTAGATTGGCGAACAAACTACCCGTTGAAGTTCATCGCAGTCCAGTGGTGGTTCTATGCTCTTCAAACCTAGGGGCACATCTGACTCTTACATGTAGCACTATAACTGAACCCTAACCCACCGAAAAACAGGTTGTGGTCAGCCAAAAACTATATGACCACTAATAGCCGTAATGGCGGTGAGTGTGAGTGGTGCGAAGGCGTACATCAAAGAAAATCCAATACCAGTATCGACGACTTGACCCTGATCGCCATTTTCATGGTCGGTCTGGGGGTTCATCTCCATGAATTGCAACGCATACATGTCACCAGCATAGGCCTGCAAGAGTGTACAATCACTTTAGTAACCATGGCATCAAGAATGGTATGAACCATAGCTCAGTTCAGACTTCAGAATTAAGCAACTACTCACTTCATTAAGTGGACAAGAAAAGTCAAATGCCTCAAAAAGGCATCAAACATTGGAACTGCAGGACTCTGCATGCACAAGAACATGAGAAACCTGGTAACTAATCAACACGACTACAAATTGTTATCAAGAGATGAAAACAGCATCAATTCGGGAGATATAATTGACTCTATAAAGACTACAAAAATGCTTTGCCTATCAAGGTAATATCTCGACTGTCAACTTTAATTCGTCAAAAGTAGCTTCGCAGGCTAAAAGCTTTCCCCTCGGATAAAGATATGCTCAGATTTCTTTCCAAATTTTTCTGCACTTCAGAAGACATGTAAAGGCTAGTATACTGTAAAACATGAAGTAGTCCTACTATCCATTCATATCATATATACACAAAAAAAGTGAGTTCATAACAATGTTGGATTAGTACCTCACACGAGAACTCTCCTTAGCAGTGGGCGTACAAGGTTGCAAACCAACCCACTGAGATTCGAGTGTCTCACTTCTACTTTAATTCTGAAAGTGTGGGAAAATGAGTCTTATCCTCATATCTCAGAAAAAGATTAGTATTAAGAGAGAAGCAAATACATTAATTCTTCTTCATATCTTCATGCATCATGTTCAGCAAATCGAGCCTTCCTTAATTGGTCTCCAAAGCACTAAACATCTCTCTATAGTCCACATTCATGAAAAGCTTGGTGGCCGTGAAGAACAGATCGCTGCATTCCTTCGCCCCAGATTGCACAGCCAACTTGATGACGTCTTTAATCCCATGGCCTCTTGGAACATCAGTAGAAGATGTCACCGAAGTGCTACCAGCCATTATGTTTGCAACATGCCTGCACTCCTGAACGGTAGGGTTCTTTTGTTGCTTTCGTTTCTTCTTTGGACTAGCAGCAATGGCAGCAACCCTCTGCTTTTCAACCTCCTTTGTTTTCTGGCCAGGTGCCTTGTTGCTTTCCAAATCACTGTTGTCTTCCAGTTCCAGATAATTGTTGCCAACCTCAACCTCAAAGAGATCAGTGGGGTCTTCTATATGCTCACCTAGGATCGCAGAAGTTGCAACCATCACATGAGTCTTGTCAAACATGGTGGTAAGTTCAGCAATGTTTTCTGGTGCTCAGTTACGGAACATTACAAATTCTGGGTGGGCCTAAATAAGGAGGATATTGACTTATTAGCATAAGCATGCTTTGTAAGTTACATAAACTTAAAGGAGATACACTCCATTGGGTACACTACACTACTTCGATGAGATTCACCCACCATTCATTAGCGGCATCTACTGTTCCCGAATTGCTATCCTATTGCTGCCCAATTGCAGCCTGTGTAAAGGTCACCCAATGACCATATTCTGTCTTCAAGAAATTCCATCGGTTTTTGAACTGCTTCCTCTCATAAGTTCTCCCTGTCCTAGCCAAGAACTTCTGATGTAGATTCCCGTATCCTGTGGCATTCAAATATGCCTCTGGCCTGTTCCCGGCACTGACCTCCTCTTTACAGATCTCACGAAAAACTTTGTGTGCAAATGAATCCCATTTTGCCTTGGCTTTCACACCTCTCTCCATCTACTCTATCATAATTTAAATACTTCATCAATTGGTACAATAATAAGAAGGTATGCACAGAAAATCATGCATTCATGTCACACAGGCAATATATATAAAAGCATGTAGACAAAATCCGTCTGTTTATCATCCCATCTAAATTCAATAAATGCATAGCATATACGTGCAGGTTTATTTTCTAGTGTAAACACTTCACCTTGAAGATGACATGTATGGCCTTCCAGACAGCTGGCCATTCATGTGCTACTTCCAGTTCGAAGCAACCCATTTCACTGTGACACCCAACCTACGGACGCACTCGTATACAAAGCGAGTCTAGTTCAGAGTGATTATACATTATTCAATACATCTAACCAAGATAAACTCATGCAATTCTACACCCACGGTATAAAGCACCAACAGACAACGGATTATTACCTATCAGTGCTCGAGTTGACAACTTGGGATAATTTTGGGTGGAGGGGAGGGGCGGTACCTGGAGGGGCGAGGAAGACAGGCGCACGACGAGGAAGGAGATCGCTGGGAGGCAATGCGTAGGGTGAGAGCCGCCGCCGGCCGTCGGCGTCGGGCCGAGGAACGTGGGCGACGGCAACCCTAATCACATCCCCTTGCAGCCAGCCTTCTGCACGAGAACTGATTTTCTTTTTCTGGGGAAACATTTGGCGAAACAATCCTACGTCGACCTCACCGGGGGTCTAACAGTTTCCTTAAAAATCTTTTCATAAACTGATCTTTTGGCCTTGTTAAGGAAAGTTTCTGAAATCAACTTTCGTTACTTCCCCTAAATCCATTTTAATATATTTTTTAATTAAACAGAAATAGATAACTGCTAGGACCCACGAGTCATTGACACCGGCGGGCGGTGCGGTGGCCGCCAGCGAGGGGCATGGCAGCGGGCACGAGCAACGGCGGGGCGCAAGCGCGGGATCGATGAACTGTATCATAGTGTCGGGAAGAAATACTAGTGAGTTAGCTCTGAGTAAGATATCAAATAATTCATCAACGTTTCGAATCGCTCGAAAAAATCAGCAATCGAACTGGTTTGGCGAATAGCATAGATATGAGGAATCAGTAACTGATCCTTCGTGACCAAATTGCCTGCATAGGAGAGCATCGAACTATTCCCATGTCATGTCTATCAATTTCTAATGAATCGACTGCAACCAAATGCTCGTGGAGTCGGAGAAACTGACGATGGGCACGGGCACCCAGTACAATTCATGCATGGAGAACATCTGAAAGTACTGCTCACACGTGTCTTCCAGAGATGTTGGTTTCCCTCGGCGAAAATTGGGAACGCCGTGGACGGCAGCGGTTGACTGAGGGTAGCTATCACTTGGGATGATACCAGAGCGGGAAACATAGAAGGAGCACAGTCATATCCATGACAGGGGGTGCCGTTGGCGACTTGAGGATCGTCGACGCCCCCTCCCTGATGAGAAGCATCGCACCTTGGCTTGACTGCCTGTGGAGGCTGCCTTTTGTGCTAAGAGGGGTGATGGATTGTGAGGCACTCCACCCATATTCAGTGTGGCTGCACGGGATGCCACCTGCAACAGAGGGACCGGGAGATCTAGCTTGGCGAAGCACGCTTTGAGCTCTGGTTTCCATGCGACAAGGGAGTCGATCCGGGCCATCTGCATGTCAGGCGCCTTGAAAGTGGAAGCGTAGATGTTGTCCTGCTTGTTAGCGTGGTCGATCGTGTTGGAGTTCATATTGTCAAGGTAGGCACGAAGCTCGGGGTCCATGTATGCGACCAAAGCTTCACGGGCAACGTTGATGGTGGCAGAGGAGGTGAAAGGGTAGTGGTTGGTCTCTGATGGCACGATGTTAAGTTCTAGTTTCCTCTATTGCATTCACTTGATTGAATACAGGGGATGGTCTCTCTCAGATACAACTTTGCACTATAGGTAAAAGAAGAAATGTAAAAGTTGCCTAGGCGTTGTCGTGATCCACATGATGCCTTCCCATCCTCTTGCGCTTATCCTTAAGTAGCATTGATCAGTTAGGGCCCACATACTTGTGATTCAGATGCATGATCCGAGCTAGACGCTGAATGATACGACCTTCCCCTAATTGGTCCCTACGATCAATGTGGTTGCCACAACAACATTTTTTGCTACCATGGGAGCGTTTCCTTGAGCCAGATGTTTTGTCTACATGGCAGTGCTTCTGTCTGGAGTTGTCAAGCTGTCAGTTGGGACGATGCCACTAACTTGTTCATCCGGTAGCTGTAACTGCGGTTGCCTTTGTCCAAAGGCCTGACCACCGTAGTGCACTAATTCTGACGTAGGATCAGGATGTCGTCGATGGCCACCACAGACGGCTCAGAGGCGGCACATACGCCTCCTAATCTGTCATCCTCTGCTCCTGGTGTCGGGCACGGATCATCTTCCCTGTCGTGATATCTAGATTGATCTCCCTCCCTCCTCAAGCGCCTCCTCCTTCTCCTCCTCCTCCTCCTCCGTCATCCTCTATTCCTCACTGGGCACCAATCGTCCCATGCAGTGATATTTAGATTGATCTCCCTCCCTCCTCAAGCACCTCCTCCTCCACCAGCCTCTGCTCCTCGTAAGGCATCTATCGTATGCAACATCATGATATCCAGATCGGTACCCTTATCTATATAAGTGTAGGAAATCAGGCAGGTAGTCTGGATGAGAACTATATTCGTTTGATTTGGGGACATAGTCTTCATGGGAATCATGTCCGTTTGCTTGGAGGATCGTATGGATCCCCCCTTTTTGCTTTGGTTTGTAATTGATTTTTTTTCTAGTGGTTTCCTTACCATGAGAAGGAGGTGGACTTGGGAGAAACAATTCCCCCTTTAATATTTGGTATATAGATATAGGTATAGATGTTGTTGTGCTTTTTCCCAACATTATAAGAATCATTATGTTACTTTTAGAACTACACCATCAAAAACATCTTATATTTAGGAACATATGTAGTAAAAGATTATTTCCTTTTGAATAAAGACACCCAAGGACATCTTAGATCAGATTAATATCAAGGAAAATAAAGACCAGTACAATGGATAGACAACTAGGCCAGAATGACTAGTAAAAGATAACAATAGATTAAAAAAACATACTAATCCTCTTCTTCCTTTGGTTTTACATCGCCCACCAGAGATTGAAAATTTCACTGACCCAACAGCAAAGAAAAGCGACACGTTCAAATGCCCTCACCAAATCAGGCTTTGAAACCCGCAAAAGTCACTCGCCCCTTGAGACGAGATTTATAAATCGCTGAAGCAACATCGGCCGGAGCATCACTCCGCGTAGAACATGCTTAAAATCAATCACCACCAGTCCAGAGGGTTGGAGAAACCGGGCATATAGAACAACACAGAAGAAGATGTTGAAGTCGCCACACCAGCACCCAGCAAAAATCTCTTCTCGAAAGACACATGGACTGCCAAGATCTAAAGGGAAACAACAGATCTAGGGAAACAAACTCTCACAAGCCCTTCGTCGACGCCTGATGACGTAGGGAGAGATTGAACATCCTCGCCGGTTCAGATGGGGCCGAATAGGCCATCATCACCCCATCTTGTCGGTCTCGTTTGAGAAGCAAAAATCTAAGAAAAATTAAACAAAACAGACGAGTCCACACTCCTTGTCGGGGGAATGAACCCCGGGCAGGCAACGGAACCCGGATCCTTTTCAAAAACAACGGGGCCAGCATCGCCCCTCAAGCCGGCTCGCGCTTGGTCGGGTCGCTCGACCCGGCCAGGCCCCTCGACCCGGTCGAACTCACCGACCCGGCAAAGTCCCTCGACTCGGCCTCGACAACCAGCACAAGGCAGCCGAACCCAGTGCACCAAGACTTCCCCAACAAGCCAGCTCCACCCTTGGCGTGTTGCTACGTCTTGAGCTCGTGTTGGTTTTCCTTGAAGAGGAAAGGGTGATGCAGCACAGTAGCGTAAGTATTTCCCTCAGTTTTTGAGAATCAAGGTATCAATCCAGTAGGAGGCTTCTCAACAAGTCCCACGAACCTACACAAACAAACAAAGAACTCGCAACCAACGCGACAAAGGGGTTGTCAATCCCTTCACGGCCACTTGCGAAAGTGAGATCTGATAGAGATAATATGATAAGATAAATATTTTTTGGTATTTTATAATATAGATGCAGAAAATAAAGATGCAAATAAAAGTAGATTGGAAGCAAATGTGATAAGAGATAGACCCAGGGGCCATAGGTTTCACTAGTGGCTTCTCTCAAGAGCATAAGTATTACAGCGGGTGAACAAATTACTGTCGAGCAATTGATAGAAAAGCGAATAATTATGACATTATCTAGGCATGATCATGTATATAGGCATCACGTCCGCAACAAGTAGACCGACTCCTGCCTGCATCTACTACTATTACTCCACACATCGATCGCTATCCAGCATGCATCTAGAGTATTTAGTTCATAAGAACAGAGTAACGCATTAAGCAAGATGACATTATGTAGAGGGATAAACTCAATCAATATGATATAAACCCCATCTTTTTATCCTCGATGGCAAC